CTGCAGAAATAGAAGTACAATGATGTACACCTGAAATTTTTACAATGTTATAAACCAATGTTACTGCAATAAACAAAAAATTAAAAAATAAATAAATAAAAATAAAAAAAATAAAAGTTCCAGGAAAAGTTTAAGAGTTGGAGAAAGATTAACTAAAATTGACCAAACGCTAATAACTGCTGATGCTGGGTGAGTGGCATGTGGGGTTATGTTCTGCTCTCCTGGGAAGAATTGGCTGGACACATTCATAATAAAGAGCTAAAAAATATGGAAAATGGTGGGGCCAGCCCAGTGGTGTAGTGGTTAAGTTCAAGCACTCTGCTTCAGCGGTCCAGGGTTTACAGGTTCGAATCCTGGGCGTGGACCTACGCACCGCTCATCAAGCCATGTGTGGCGGTATCCCATATATAAAATAGAGGAAGATGGGCACAGATGTTAACTCAGGGCTAATCTTCCTCAGCAAAAAGGAGGATTGATGGGGCCGGCCTGGTGGCCTAGTGGTTAAGTTCGCATGTTCTGCTTCACCAGCCCAGTGTTCGCCGGTTTGGATCCTGGGCACAGACCTACGTACCACTCATCCAGCCATGCTGAGGCAGCATCCCACACAGAGCAACTAGAAGGATGTACAACTATAACACACAACTATCTACTGGGGCTTTGGGGAGCAAAAAAAAAGGAAAAAAGGAGGAAGATTGGCAACAGATGTTAGCTCAGGGCCAATCTTTCTCAAAAAAAAAAAGAGGAGGATTGGCAATGGATGTTAGGTCAGAGCCAATCTTCCTCACCAAAAGAAAGAAAGAAACACAGAAAATGTTAATTTCAGTTGAGCTGAGTGGAACACACATCGGTTATGCTGTTTGCTACAGTTCTGTGTAGAGCGGTCCACAAAAGGGTAACCCGCCGTGTAGGCGCAGTGCAGTGATGGTCGGGACCCTCCCCTAACGTCTGGGGTGCAGGCAGGGGCTCAGAGGTCTCACCGCCTGCAGCTTGTCCAGGTTGTCCTGCAGTACCTTCTCAGTGTGCCTGTAGGCCTTAGCCACCAGCAGTTTTGCTTCCTGCCAATGAAGAAGAACAGATCTGTAAGGAGCAAAAACAGCTGACCAACATTCTCAGCATCATCTAGAGCCTGGCTCTGCCCCAAAGTACATGAAAGAAACAAAGGTTCAGAACATAGCCCTTCGTCTCTTAGAATAAAGAGGAGAGCCCAGCTGCTAACAGATTCCCGCCCCCAGCTTCTCCTCTGGGAATGCCTGCCCACCAACCATTCACACCCGAAGGTGCCCCACCAGCTCCTGGAGGCCGGGGACCCTGCATCTGTCCTCCATGCCCACAGCTGCTTCACATGCGTGTGCACCAGGCCGACTGGGGCTGCCCCAGGATGGCCGAACACTGCCTGGTCCAGTCTCACATGGGCAATACAGTGCGTCCCTGCTGGGATGACCGGGCACTGGCTCTATCATTCAATGCATTTATTTGATATTCGTCCCAGTTCCACGTCATCTACAACTTCATCAGGAGCCACATGGGTCCTTATCCAAGAACAAACACTCGGCAGGTCAGAGCTGCAACAGAGGCCAGGAGGAAGACCCATGATGTGGGGACCACACGACCGCTCTCAGCTCAGTGCAGTGGGGGGGGCCTCACGTGGCAGAGGGTGCAGCACCTGCACGAGACTTGCCTCCTAACCCCCCTGCAGCACAGGATGGGGCAAACGCCAGGCAGAGGTACGGCAGCGAGGGCCGTGCAGACTCACGTGGTCCATCATCTGCTGAAAGCCCTGGCTGAAGGGTCGCCGTCCAATGCCCATGAGGCCCTCCTGTGCCTCAGGGAAGGAGACGGGCCCGATGCTTGGTGCCATCCCAAACTGCTTCACCATGGAGTAGGCGATGCGGGTGACCTTCCTCAGGTCGTCCTGCGCCCCTGGAGCATGGGGTCAAGAAAAGAGGTTTCTTTCCAGCGGTGCCAGGTCAGGGTACCCTGGGACCCCACTGGCACACACCTGGGCCTGACAGCAGGCACAGAGCACCCAGAGGACACAGAGCACCCAGGGGACAACAACTCTTTTATTTTTCCTTAAAAGAGACTTTAAAAAATGTTCTTTTGTTTAAGAGACGACTCCTCCAGCTGTACATTTGGATTCATTTCACCAGCAGTCCTCCAGCACAAGCCCAGGTTTGCACAGGGCACACCTATCAGCACAGAACCCCACAGTCACTGGGAATGAGCCAGGAACGTCTTTCACCTCCTCTCTGGACAATCAAGTGAAATAGCAGCTTGAGAACAGTGAAGCTGTTTGGATTTTATACAGTTTTATGTAGCCATTACCAACAATTAACCAATTAAATGCATTTATAGTCTGCATGTATGTAAAAGTTTTTGTAACAATTAAATTATTTAAAAAGTCTTGCTTGGGGCCGGCCCCATGGCGTAGCGGTTAAGTGCGCGAGCTCCACTGCTGGCGGCCGGGGGTTCGGATCCCGGGCATGCACTGACGTATCGCTTGTCAGGCCATGCTGTGGCAGCGCCCCATATAAAGTGGAGGAAGAGGGCCGGCCCTGTGGCTTAGCAGTTAAGTGCGCGCGCTCCGCTGCTGGCGGCCCGAGTTCGGATCCCGGGCACGCACCAACGCACCGCTTCTTCGGCCATGCTGAGGCCGTGTCCCACATACAGCAACTAGAAGGATATGCAGCTATGACATACAACTGTCTACTGGGGCTTTGGGGGCAAAAAAAAAAAAAAATCTTAAAAAAAAAAAAAAAAAAAAAAAAAAAAAAACAGGCAAGTGAGAAACTGTCTGAGCCAAGAGGAGCCTAAGGAGACGTGACAACTAAATGTACGTGGGATTCTGGACCAGAGAAAGGACATTAGGGAAAAACTAAGGAAATCCAAATAAAGCATGGACGTCAGTTGCTGAGAACGTATCAATTCTGGTTCACTACGTTGTGAAAAATGAACCACATAGTGGAAGATGCTGACAACAGAGAAAACTGGGTGTCTCTAGTAGAAGGAACTCTCCACTATATTTGCAACTTTCCCATAATTCTAAAACTATTCTAAACTTTAAAAATTATTTTAAAAAAATAATTATTTTTTTTTAATTAATAAATTTAAGAAGATTGAAATAATACCAAGCA